GTTTTGGTGTCGACGTGGAGCAGCAACAGCAGCAGCAGTCGCCGCCGGTGTCCGCCCTTCGCCTCCTCAGGCTTCTTTTCCCCGACTGACCGCCTGCGCCTCCCCCACGGCCGCCTTCCCCGCCTGTCTACGGCCCTGTGTTTCCTCCTCCGGACACATCCTCGGCTCGTTTCCCTCATCGTTTACCTCCTCGTTCTCCTGCTGTGTCTCCTCCCTTGCCTCCTGACCCGACCCCCCTTTCCCGCTGGTGGTCTCACCATGCCTCTCGTGCTCGTCCAATCTCTCCTGTTTAGCGCTCTCACCCTATGTTGCTCCGTTCTCACGCGTCTTGTGCTCCCGTTCTACCGTCGCCTCCTCAGTCGTTGCTTGTTGTCTCCCCTCCTCCTCTCTCTGACTTCCTTCGTGCCACTAGTCCACTAGTCCGCTTGTCCCTCGCGTTCTCACTTTTCTTGTTACCGACCCGTCCGTTCCTGTCTCCTGTATTGACGCTGTTATCGCTGCCGTCGCTGACTTTGCCTCTACCCGCCGCCTTGAGTACGCCACCGCTCTAGTTTCTGACTCTGCCCGTCTTCTGTCTGTCGGGGGTGCACCTGTCCTTGGCAGTGACGTTCTAGAGGACAGAAACTACGAGCTCGCTTTCCTGTCCCAGGCCGCTCCCCATCTCTACTCCATGCTGCTAGTCCCTGAGGTTGACCCAGACGCCCTTTACATCCCGACCCCTCGCACTTACGCTGAGGCGACCTTGAGACCCTGGGCCTCTCAATGGATAGCTGCCATGGACGCGGAGATGGCATCTCGGAGGTCCACCAGCACCTATGTCAATGCAGTTCCCCCACCTGGGGTGAACGTAGTCGATGGTCGGTGGCTTTTCAATGTGAAACGCCCTCCTCGAGAGCCGCCGGTGTTCAAGGTACGCTATGTTGCTAGAGGCTTCAGTTAGCGCGAGGGTATTGACTTCTTTCAGACCTTCGCCCCGACCCCGAAGATGACCACGCTTTGGGCGCTGCTACACATAGTAGCACAGCGTGACTATGAGCTGCACTCCCTCGACCTCTCCACACGGTTTCTCCAGGGCAGCCTGCACGAGCAGGTCTACATGCGCCCTCCGCCCGGCTGCACCGGCACCTTTGCCCCTGGTACCGAGTAGCTCCTCCGCCGCTCGGTTTACGGCATGTGGTAGGCGCCCCGTGAGTGGCAAGACACGATGCGTGCTACGTTAGCTGACCTGCAAATCTTCCCCTTGCTTGCAGACCCCTCGCTCTTCTTTCGTTCTGGCCAGACTCCGTTCTACATCTTTGTCTACGTAGACGACGTGGTCTGTGCTATTGAGGAGACACACTTGCACTGACCTAGGAGAGCTGCGCCGCTACCTTGGATTGCAGATCTCTAGGGACAGAGCAGTGCGCACCATCACTCTTACACAGTCACACTTGGTGTGCCAGATCCTTCAGAGGTTCGGTCTTCAGTTCTCCTCCGCACAGCCCACACCTCTGCCAGTAGATGAGAGGCTCTCGGCTCCAGTCCCCTGAGGAGTCAGTAGAGCCTAGTGGTCCTTACGCAGAGCCCGACCACGCCGCCGAGTCCTGCGAGCTCCGCCGCCGCCGGCAGCTGTCGTCGAAGCCGCCGCCGCCGCAGCTGGTGCTGCTGGTCACGCAGCCGCACGCCGCCGCCGCCGCTGTCGACGCTGTCGCCATCGCCGCCTTTGCAGCCGCTGCCCTCCTAGTCGACGTCGCCCCGCCTCACGCGCCGTGGGGTTGACAGTGCTGAAGTAGCTGTCGCTGCTGCTGAGTATGGGGGTGCTAGGGGGTGTGTGGTTTAGTGTGTTGTGTGTGTGATGGGCTTGCCGCTAAAAGGCCTAGGGGGTGTGTTAAGTTACATCTTATATATAATTGTAGGCTTGGTAGGTGCTACTGGAACTTGCTGTAGGGGGTACAACACCCCTCCTTGTATCCCTCTCTCTTTTGTTCTTGACCTCTCTTTTCTCTCGTAACTTTCTCTTCTAGCCTTAAAACCACAGGCTAGAATAGCAAAGTCTGCCTGCCAAAAGTCTATTGCTATTGCTTACTTCAAAGCTAGCCCACACTTTCAAGTGTGCTAGCCCGCCCCAGGTGTGCTATTGCTTTCCAAACGTAGAAGACCCCGTCACCTACGCTAGCTTAGAGCAGCTCCTGCCAAAATTCCACGCTCTAAAAAATCGTCCAGCGCGAGGACGAGCAGGAGTAGTCCCTCGCGTGCGCGTGACCCTTTAGAACCGAGAAAAGACCCCATCTCGTGCAGTAGCGGCGGCAATACGGGGTGGAAGCATTATAGGGAGCCAAACCGTCCCTATTGACAACCCTTGCTCGCGTAGACTATTAGGCAGCAAGCCACGGGTGCTTGTAACACGGCTAGCAACACGTGGGCAAGACCGCCCAGAAGTTAGCGTCCCTTTCGTAAAGCATAGTGAGCCCCTCCCTCGACTGCTCGTCGCCGTGGCCCGCCAGTTGCGCGAGAACTTAGTCCAAGGCGTTGGGCGAACGGTTGGGAGAACGGTTGGTTGAACGGTTGGGAGAACGAGGCGGGCGAGCCGGGGAAAGAGAGGGAGGGGAGAACGGAATGAGGGAGAGAGGAGAGTGGAATGGGGAGAGCGAGTGGAATGAGGGGGAGATCGAGCGGAATGAGGGGGAGAGGAGAGCCAAATGAGGGGGAGAGGAGAGTGGAAAATAGAGGGAGAGAAGAGCGGAATGGGGGGGAGAGGAGCGCGGAGTGGGGGGAAAAGGCGAGTGGAATGAAAGGGGGAGGAGAGGCAAATGAGGGGGGGAGGAGAGCGGAATGAGGAAGGCAGGGAGATAGGGGCAGGGGAATGGGGAAGGCAGGGAGAAAAGGGACAGGGAAATGTGGAGGGCAGGGAGAAAGGGGACAGGGAAAGGGGGAAGGCAGGAAGAGGGGCAACAAAGGGCAGGGACAGGGGCAACAAAGGGCAGGGAGAGGAGCAACAAAGGGCAGGGAGAGGGGCAACAAAGGGCAGGGAGAGGGGGAACAAAGGGCAGGGAAAGGGGGAACAAAGGGCAGGGAGAGGGGGAACAAAGGCCAGGGAGAGGGGGAACAAAAGGCCAGGAGAGGGGGAACAAAAGGCAAGGAAATGGGGATCAAAAGGCTGGGAGAGTGGGAATGCTGAGTAGGAGGAAGGGTTTTAATCTTTGGGTTTCAAGATTGTACGGCTTTTTGTCTGCCCCGTCCTATTCCTTCCATTCTTTCCACTCCCTACTGTTCCCCCCCTCTCTGCTGCTCCCCTGCTCTCTGCTGTTCCCCCCCTCTCTGCCGCTCCCCTGCTCTCTGCTGTTCCCCCCCTCTCTGCTGTTCCCCCCCTCTCTGCTGCTCCCCTGCTCTCTGCTGTTCCCCCCCTCTCCGCTGCTCCCCTGCTCTCTGCTGTTTCCCCCCTCTCTGCTGCTCCCCTGCTCTCTGCTGTTCCCCCCCTCTCTGCTGCTCCCCTGCTCTCTGCTGTTCCCCCCTCTCTGCTGCTCCCCTGCTCTCTGCTGTTCCCCCCCTCTCGGCTGCTCCCCTGCTCTCTGCTGTTCCCCCTCTCTCTGCTGCTGTTCCCCCCCTCTCTGCTGCTCCCCTACTCTCTGCTGTTCCCCCCTCTCTGCTGCTCCCCTGCTCTCTGCTGTTCCCCCCCTCTCCGCTGCTCCCCTGCTCTCTGTTGTTCCCCCCTCTCTGCTGCTCCCCTGCTCTCTGCTGTTCCCCCCCTCTCTGCTGCTCCCCTGCTCTCTGTTGTTCCCCCCCTCTCTGCTGCTCCCCTGCTCTCTGCTGTTCCCCCCCTCTCCGCTGCTCGCCTGCTCTCTGCTGTTCCCCCCCTCTGCTGCTCCCCTGCTCTCTGCTGTTCCCCCCCTCTCTGCTGCTCCCCTGCTCTCTGCTGTTCCCCCCCTCTCTGCTGCTCCCCTGCTCTCTGCTGTTCCTCCCCTCTCTGCTGCTCCCCTGCTCTCTGCTGTTCCCCCCTCTCTGCTGTTCCTCCCCTCTCTGCTGCTCCCCTGCTCTCTGATGTTCCCCCCCTCTCTGCTGTTCCCCTGCTCTCTGCCGTTCACCCCCTCTCTGCTGTTCCTCCCCTCTCTCCTGTCCCCCCGGTATCTGCTGTCCCCCCGCTCTCTGCTGTACCCCTGCTCTCTGCTGTACCCCTGCTCTCTCCTGTCAAGCGTCCCATTGTCGTCGAGGCAAAGACCTCCTTTCCCTACCTCGCTACCCTCTCCCATCCTTTCCCCCCATCCTCCCTCCCATTTTCCCCACCCTGTCAAGCCTTTCTCCCATCCGCTACCCCTTACACTTATGGCCGGACTTTGGTTCCTCTTTAGGTCGCCGGTCTTGCCATCCCTTCTCCCCATCTGTCAATCACTTTCCCCTTCAACCCTATTGTTCACACCCTTGCTCAGGTGCTCTCCCATGGCCCTATGCTTCTACTCGTCACCCACCACTAACCCCCTCTCCTTTAAACCCCCCTTTCCAACCCATAATGGCACCCGTCCTTCGCCGTTCTGGAACTCAGGGTACCTGGGTCAGGTAGCTAAGAGAGTGCAAGTGCAAGTCGTTTTTAGTCAAAAGTCAGTTTTATTATGCTGCATACTACAGTGAATTAGGACAACAATAAGTACTTCCGTATACTCCTTGCTCCTAATATGCTCAACGTTGTTATTCTCATGACCAATACTATGAATAATACAGTTGCATACGTGTTTATCAACATTTTCCATAGGGTGAGTTACGCTGTTTTGGATTCGGGTCTTTTTGCGCGTACCGTTGGGCTCTTGCAACTCCTGGTTGTAGCGTGTTCGTGCTTGGCGCCCTGCCCTGTGTTTGCAGCTCATTTTGCTCCAAGTTGCGTCACAATCCTGTACACATAAAATTTCGTGTGGGTTGAATCAACAAAAAGAACACGCCCCAGTGATCTCTTTCATTCTCAGTCGGAAATGTCGCGCGTGGATTTGGGGACCTCGTCGCACGCGTTCCGAATTCGCCCAACCTCCCGCAGGCGTGGATTATGGTGGGTTCGTTTCTGCCCAGTTGCCCAAAAAGTTCCCTGTCAATTTCGCTCTAGCAACCCAACGTTTTCAAAAGTGCCCCCACTTTAAGAGGGGCTCACTTGAAGGCCCCCTTTACTATTTTAGCCTGTGGTTTTAAACCTCACGCCATTCCATGGCTTCCTCCTACTCCTAGTTAGCTCATCGTTGCATTATTCTAACAGTCAACCCCTAGTTGTTTGACTACAACTCACTAGCACAAAGTCACCCTGTACCCTCCATTCTAACTAATGCGTTATTCTGATAAGTACCTGGTGGGTTGATTGGATTATGGTACATGGGGTGATAATTGCAATTGAGATTGTGGACAAGTATTGGGAGTCAAGACGAGTTCACTGAACACCCAAATAGCCCAAGGCTAAAATAGCAGACCTGGAAACCACTTGAATTTGGTGCCTTGAAATCCAAGTATAGAATGGAAGGCAGGTTTGGGTTCAAACCAGATTTTTCTGGGCTATAAAATTGGGCCGAAAGGAATTCAAAGTGAGCATGCTGATTGGAAGACTGACAAAAAAGTCATTTCGTGTTCTGTTGCGACACGAATATTTTGATGCGATCCGCGCATTTCACTGTGCACGTCGCACGGAAGTTGCTACGACGGGTTTGTGCGAGCGACTTGCGACAACAAAATTCAGGGGTGTTTTTCAAGTGATTTCAAGGTCTGCTATTGCGGAATCAGGTGGAGTTTGCCCCAAGGTCCCTGTTCTCGTCGCACTTTCACTGTTCCCCGAAACACAGTGTTTCGTCGCATGAAGCGAATTTCACTGTTCACGGCCTGGCTCTCGCGCAAAGGCGTCGCCAAACTGCAGCGGTCAGGTTCCATTTTTTTAGCACGAAGAATTTCAGTATGTTTCAATCACTTCAAAAAAACAATTATATGTCAAGTTCATGAGGAAATCAAACAGGAATCTTGATTGTTATTTTAGCCACGGGCTTTAAAGCGAGAGGTTAGAATAGTGACCCCCTTTTCAAGTTGGACCCAACTCGAAATAGTTCGGCTCAAGAGTGTGTTGGTTGGAAACTTGCGAGACTTTTTTTTGTTAGGGGGGCAGTTTGTGTTTGTGTGATAGTTGGCGACAAATTACGAGTGAACATTTTGCATGATTGTCGCAAATCACAAGCCATCCCACTACCCTGCGAAAGACAAGCTGAAGACATTGATTTTGAGAGCCCAAGGCACGCATCTCCCCCTCAAGTGTCACTTCAAAGTACCAGCACAATAAAACGTTGCGAGTGAAATACAGAGTGCAAAATACCAAAACCACGACACAGAGAGAGACTCGCGGCGATAGGTGCGGAGAGCGGGAGAATGACGGTGAGGAAGAAGTGTTCAGAGGGGGAGCGTGAGATGGAAAGCCCTGGCAAAATCGAAGGAGAGGGGCGGAGATAGAGAGGAAGATGCTCGGAGAGAGAGAGGAAGTGGCGCGGATAGAGAGAGGAAGAGGTGCGGAGAGAGAGAGGAAGAGGCACGGAGAGAGAGAGAGGAAGAGGCGCGGAGAGAGAGAGGAAGAGGCGCGGAGATAGAGAGGAAGAGGCGCGGAGAGAGAGAGAGGAAGAGGCGCGGAGAGAGAGAGGGAGAGGAAGAGGCGCGGAGAGAGAGAGAGAGGAAGATTCGCGGAGAGAGAGAGAGGAAGAGGCGCGGAGAGAGAGAGAGGAAGAGGCGCGGAGAGAGAGAGAGGAAGATTCGCGGAGAGAGAGAGAGAGGAAGAGGCGCGGAGAGAGAGAGGAAGAGGTGCATAAACGAAGGGAGAGGTGATGATGGGGGAGAGGGTGAGTGTAAGTTCAAAGGAGCAAGATTGTCGCCATGCGCCACCTTCTCTTTCACAGCGCAACTCTTTGCAGCTCTCCGCCTCGCTCTCTTTCTCGTCGCGCCGCATTACACTCTCCCGCGGTGCTACACACTCTATCCAGCCATGCTGTTCTCTCTCTCCAGCCACGCTACTCTCTCTCTCTCTCCCATCGCGCTACTCTCTCTCTCCCCTCGCGCTACTCTGTCTCTCCCATCTCGCTGCGCTGCTCTCTCTCCCATCGCGCTACTTTCTCTCTCTCCCGCCGCGATACTCTCTGTCTCTCTACCATCTCACCACGCTGCTCTCTCTCTCATCACACTACTTTCTCTAGCTCCCGCCGCGATACTCTGTCTCACTCCCATCTCGCTACTCTCTCTCTCTCTCTCTCACATCGCGCTACTCTCTCTCACTCTCCCACCGCGCTACTCTGTCTCTCTCCCATCTCGCTACTCTCTCTCTCTCCCATCGCGCTACTCTCTCTCTCGCCCTCCGCGCTACTCCTTCTCTCTCTCCCATCGCGCTACTCTCTCTCTCTCTCCCGCAAATAGGTACTCTGTCTCTCCCCCATCTCGCTACGCTGCTCTCTCTCCCATCGCGTTGCTCTCTCTCACTCCCGTCGCGTAACTATCTCTCTTTCCCTCCCGCCGCGCCACTCTCTCCCTTTATCGTTGCGTCACATTTTCCTCACTGTTCCTAGGCACTAAGGCGGAAAAAACAGGGGGTCAACTAGCGGAACTAGGTAGCTACGCGTCTGTTAGTAGACTACAACTAGCCAGGAAATTGACTTTCGCGTAGGAAATGGAGAAGTGCTCTTTGCAGCAATTATGAACCCAGGCCCAACTTGAAATCCGAGTTGGGCCCAACTGGATCCGAAAGACTCAACCCGTCGCATGCATACGCCATGCCAGAATCGCACAGGGAAACGCTAACCCTGACAAGCATTTCGTGTCAGAAATACAGCTTTGGCACGTCGTGAGTTTCGTCTCGCGACGATCATGTTGGCGGGATCCAATCAGCTTTGAGATCAAACTTCAATTTTCCAACCCGCGTCACTTTGGAACAGTAATTTGTCAGCCCAGGTTTCCAAGAGAAGTCACAGGGGGGAGTCCTCTTTCAAGTTGGGCCAGCCTTCACTATTTTACCTTCTCGCTTTAAAACCCCACGGCAAAATAGCAGAGGGGTTATCAAGCAGGGACCCCACTTGATGGAGCCCCCCTCCAGACACCAGAGGGGTTGGCTTGGAACAGAGAGGGGATAGTTTGGGGGCAGGGCAGGTTTCGAAACGGCACGGAATGCCCCGTTGATGCCATGATGGCTCATAAAATTACGTTTCCGGCTTGGGCAAGTCACGCGACGAGATGCAGGGTCGCATGAAAACCCAAGCAGCCAATAGAACGGGGGCATCAAAGCGTGCGTGGATGTGCTTCGGCTCCACGAGTGATGAGGATCTTGGAATGGGACAGCCAGCATCGCATAGCTACGTAAATGGCTAAAAAACAGGCCCGAGCATTTTTTCTGGCAATTTCGGAGCGCTGTAAGAGGGTAACCCCATCCACTGACAAAACTGAACAATGACGATGTGGCTGAAAAAGGGGACACGTGATTGGTCGAAGGCAAACAGACCTTCGCAAATACAACCCAAATCCCCATCCCTTGACACCCAAAACGGAAGGAAAACACTTGGCATCGATTTGTAAGTTAGGACCCAGGCGAGTTCAACTTTAGACTCCTATCTGGCTTATAGTAGAGTTCCTCGTGCGCGTAGCCTAGCCTGGGTGATATAGAGCAAGAAATAAAGAGAGGAATAAAGGACGAAGGTTCCGCTTCGTCCCACTACCCGCTTTCCCTCGCTTCCCGCTTTTCGCTTTCCCTCGCTCCCACTTCCAGTTTTTCCCTCGCTTCCCGCTTCCCGCTTTCCCGCGCCTCCCGCTTCCCTCTTTCCGTGGCTTCCACCTCCCGCTTTCCCTTGCTTACAGCTTGCTGCTTTCCCGCGCTTCTCGCTTCCCGCTTTCCCGCGCTTCCCGGTTCCCGCTTTCCCTCGCTTCCCGCTTTCCCGCGCTTCCCGCTTCCCGCTTTCCCTCGCTTCCCGCTTCCAGCTTCCCGCTTCCCGTTTCCCGTGCGTTCCCACGCTTCCCGCTGACCCTCGCTTTCCGCTTCCCGCGTTCCCTCGCTTTCCGCTTCCCGCGTTCCCTCGCTTTTCGCTTCCCGCCTCCCACTGACCCCCGCTTCCTGCTTCCTCCCTTCCCCCTGCTTCCCGCTTTCCCTCTCTTCCCGCTTTTGGGAGCTTCGTGAGGAGTTAGAGCAAGGAAGGGGTCGAGGCGAAGCAGCAGGGAAGAGAGCGAGGCAGGAGGGAGAGCAGGGGAGGGGGAAAGGAGTGAGAGCAACGAAGTCAGTGAGGAGTGAAAGAAGGGGAGGGGGGGAGGGGGGAGGAGGGAGAGCGGCGAAGGCAGAGAGGCGGGAGAGCACGGGAGGGGGGAAGGCGTGAGAGCAGGGGAGGGGGAGTGGCATGAGAGCTGGGGAGGGGGAGTGGCGTGAGAGCATGGGAGGGATCGAGGTAAACGAGCTGGGGAGGGGTTGTGGCGTGAGAGCATGGGAGGGATCGAGGTAAACGAGCTGGGGAGGGGGAGAGGAGGGAATGAACGCGAGGCGTGAGAGCAGGGGAGCGGGCGTCCCGCTTCCTCTTGCTTTCCTCTTCCCCCTGCTTCCCTCTTTCCCCTGCTTCCCTCTTCCCCCTGCGTCCCTCTTCCCCCTGCTTCCCTCTTCCCCCTGCTTCCCTCTTCCCCCTGCTTCCCTCTTCCCCCCGCTTCCCTCTTCCCCCCGCTTCCCTCTTCCCCCGCTTCCCTCTTTCCCCTGCTTCCCTCTTCCCCCTACTTCCCTCTTCCCCCTGCTTCCCTCTTCCCCCCGCTTCCCTCTTCCCCCTGCTTCCCTCTTCCCCCCGCTTCCCTCTTTCCCCTGCTTCCGTCTTCCCCCTGCTTCCCGGTTCTCCTTGCTCCACCACCCCCCCCTGCTATACCTGCTGGTTTCCCCCCTGTCCCATATCCCCCCTGTCTCCGCTATACACCCAATCACCCCTCCCTCCCTCCCTCCCCCACTTGGCACTTTGTGCTCGCACTATTCCCTTCCGCAGGAGTCGAAGACGTTGGAGCCAATGGTCCAGAGTGCCAGCACCAGAATTCTGGGCCTAGTAGTCATATTCCGCTTACTGCAGAGGCCATAAAGTTTTTCTCAGTATGGGAGATGTTTGCACAATTGCCATGAGTTATATTGCTGTACTTTACAGTAAAACATGCCACAGCTAAGGAGGGCCATAGTGTTTGAGATATTGAGCTATTGGTATATGCAAGTGTGGGCGCCACTTTGAGGTGCCTTGCATCTACCCTTGTTACATCCTCTGCTGCCACCCCTAAGTACCTCACAGAGCACAATGCTGCAAGAATTTGGGTGTGAGGGATGGGAGGACAGAGGGCCAGAGGGATGGGCATAGAGGGAGAAAGAGGGGAGAAGCGTGTGTGAGGGATTGGGCAGAACGAGAGAGCATGGAGAGGATGGGCAGCAGAGCACGAGGAACGGGGGTATTGGTTGCAAGAGATGACGTTCATGTGCAAACGAAAGGGGTGTGAGATAGAATGAGTAGAAAGGAGAGGAAGAGAGCGAGGGGAAGACCAGCGTCAAGCTTTGCATTTGCAGGTTCACTGCACGAGAAGTTCCTCAAGGCCATGCACGGAGACGGAGGAGGAGCAGCGGACTACACGCAAACCGTGAGAAACTAGGAAGGGAACAATAGGGGGGTGGGAGCGGAGGTGAGTTGGACGGGTGGCGTGAGAGGGAAAGGGACGGGTAGCGTGAGAGGGAGAGGGACGGGCAGCGTGAGGGGGAGAGGGACGGGCAGCGTGCGAGGGAGAGGGACGGGCGGCGTGAGAGTGAGAGGGACAGGCAGCGAGAGTGGGAGAGGGATGGGCGGCGTGAGAGGGAGAGGGACGGGCAGCATGAGAGTGAGACGAAAGCGGGAAGCGGGGAGCGGGAAGGGGGACGCGACAAGAGGGAGCGGAAAGCAGGAAACCGGGAGAAGCAATCGGGAAGTAGGAGGCGGAAAGAGGGAAGCGGGACGCGGGTAGCGGGAAGCGGGATGTGGAACGTAGAACGCGGGGAGCGGGAAGCGGGAGGCAGCGGGAAACCTGAGGCGGGCGGGAAGCTGGGAGCAGGACGCGAGATGCGGAAGCGACGAGCGGGAGCGTGGTGCGGAACGCGGGAAGCGGGGAGCTGGCTTGGATGGAACGGGGCGCGGCAAGTGGTAGGCAGCGGCACGCGGGAAGCCTTGTTCCTAGGACCCTTTCGAAACCCGTTTTGCGTGCAGGAAACTCTTACTGCCTTGTCTAGATAAAGTCTGCCGTTCACTATGTCCCGAGTGGTGCGGATTTTACACTGCTAGAAGTCGGAGTGTTGGGCTATGGCATGTCGCTTGGAGTGAAGGACTTCGTGCAGGAATAGCAGAGGGGGGTCCCTCTTGAAATTCAAGATGGACCCCCTTGTTCCTCACCACCTTTCGCCAGCCTTGTCGCGCAATTGTGCGACGCGCTGTGCGACGGGCTGCCGACGCGGGAATTTCACACTTTCGATTTGTGTGCACATTCTCGCTCCAGACCGCGCATGTGTTTTGATTTGGCCAATGGGAGGGAAGTTTTGTTTTTCTCGTTTCGTTCGGCGCGAAGTTGTGCGCACTTGCGACCAGATGTCTCGTCGTCCAAAAAGGGACTTTTTTCAGGAGGGGCTTCGATCAAGAGGGCCCCCCCTCTGCTATTTTGCCGTGGGGTTTTAACCGAAACATGAAATTGGCTAGGACATTAGCACCAGCTGCTGAAGACATCCAGTTGCATCGATGTTGCAGTGAATGCAAGCGGATTCAGGCAAGCATATCAATTCCACCTATAGAAGCAAACTATAAGGGCTAAATAGATGTAATGCTACACTTCAGATGGTGTCTTTGTAACGAGGGAGTCCACAGCATGCACTGCGCCTTGCAGCTCCTCCCAGATAGCTCGGTACACCATGCGCTGCCTGTCCAGGCTGCGCTTCCCTTCAAACAGCTTCGACACCACCTCAATGCTGCCAGACACGGAGTGACACCAAGTTCGGGAAAAAGGCACAAGGTTCAAGACACGGACAAAGCTGCCACAATGCTGCCACAATGCTGTCACAAGGTGACTAAGGGACAAAGGCAGCGCAATAACGTAAGGAGACATAACATAAGGTTTGGGAGAATGACACGAGGTTGCCACAATGCTGTTAGTGGACAAAGTCAAAGGCCAAGAAGGTTCAGAGAGGAGAAGTGAGGGGGAAGAGAGAAAGCCAGCCGGGGGGAGCTGGGTAGAGGGACAATCGCTTACTTTTTAGGCGCCTCTAATATTGAGGGGGAAGAGAAAGCTGGGCGGCGGGCGTAAGGTAGAGGGGGTACAGCAAGAATTCAGGAGGGAACCGGTCTGGTTGAGGATGGGAGTGTGGGGAATGGGGAAATAGGCTCTTACCTGACATGCTGGCCATCGCCATTGACATCCACAACCGTGACTTGGTCTGCCTCCAGTGCCAAAGCAATCTGCCATATTGGAGGGGGAGAGGAGGTTTGAGGGAATGGGGAGGGGGGGGGAGGGGCTAGATGATGGCGTGCCATTGAGAGGCAACCTGCTATAATGGGGTGAGGATGGAGAGGGGTTGGACGATCAATTGTGTCTCCCAGTGGGGGATCAGTGACTATGAGACACGCCACTGCATTCACAACAGCAGCCTTCTGAGCCTCCAGTGCTAAGGAAATCTGGCAGACTGCAGGGCAAGAGAGGGGTAGGATGATCAACAGGGTCGGCTAGTGGGGGATCAGTGATTGTGAGACATGCCATTGGCGACCACAACTGTGACTTTGCCTGCCTCTAATGCCGAGACAATCTGGTGGGTTGAGAAGGAGCGGAGGAGGTGAGGAGTCGATTTTTTAGGCGCCTCAAAAAGTGGATTGAGAAAGGGCGGAGGAGGTGAGGAACGGAGGAGGTGAAGGAGCGCCTCAGAAAGTGACGAGTGCCAAGGCAATCTGGTGGATTGAGGAGTGGAGGAGGTGAGGGAGTGGATAGGAGCGGGAGGGAAGGGAGATTTTAGGGGGACCAATGCTTACAAGACACGTCATTGACGTCCTCAGCTGTGTCTTTGTCGACCTCGAAAGGAAAGGCAATGGATGTTGGGGGAGGGAAAGGCGGGGGAAGAGAGCGGGGTGGAGGGGAGGAGGGGAAGGGAGCAATAAGGGGTCGAGTGTGTATGAGAGGGGCCTGAATTGTTCCTTAATGTGTGGGGGGGAGGGACCGGGGGCGGGGGAGGGGGGGGGGTTGGGGGTGGTAGGGGGGGAAGGGGAATAATTGAGTACAGCCGGCCGTGCCATTGGGATCCTGAATTGTCGCACGGCCGGCCTCCAATGCAGCAGCAACACTACGGAGGGAAGGCAAAACAATGCCAACGTTTACTCTCCAATGCTGCATAACGGGGGGATACGAGCGGGTGCTTCAGGCGTGAATCCCTACTGGGTGGGAACCACAAAAAAGCGATCAGTGGAGTGGGATAATTCGAGGTTGGGAAAAGAGGAGGGGTGGCAAAAACTTAATGTGGGAGGTGTAAGTCCGGTTCATGTGTTGTTTGCCTCTTGCGTAGCAACCGCGCTTCACCAAACAGAAAGTGGCTCGTAACCTATCCGAATGGCCTAACGCTTCTTCACTTGCTCACCCTTTCCCCATGGCGGTAGCTGTTGCGAAGTTCATGCTCCCAGTCCACGGAACTTATTCTGCCAGACCGCTAATTTCGGCTCCTATCCCTTAACCTTTCCCCCATGGCAGTAGCCGTTGCATGACGCTACTACCAGTCCAGGGAACTCATTCTGCCAAGACTGCTAGTTTCGCCTCCTGTCCCGTCCCTTCCCCCCCGCGGCGCTGGCCGTTGCGGGATTGATGCTACCAGCCACCAAAACCCGAAGGTTGGGATGTAGTCCGCGCCCGGGGCAAGCCTCGAGGCAGGACTTCGGGGCATCAGTTACACGGCCGCGATTGCCCAGTCTGAAAACTTGAATCGTCCAGTCCGTAAATCTGACTGCCCCAACTCTTGCCTCGAGGCTTGCCCCGAGCGCAAAAACCACCTTTATCCTCGAATCCGTGCCTTTTCCCGCATGGCTGTGGCCGTTGCGGAGTCGACGCCACCAGCCCATTCCTGGCGGCATTGCGGATTTGGCTAAACAATTGCGACATCTGAAAGGTTTTCCTCCGTGTCATGTTTTCCCTACCCCTTACCTTTCCCCACATGGCGGTGGCCGCTGCGAAGTAGACAGCCCGGGCCGGGAGATTCATGCTGAGGCGCCTCACGACCAGCAGCTCACACCTTTCAGAAGCCCCAGCATGTTTCCCTACCCCCTTACCTTTTCCCGCATGGCGGTGGCCGTTGCGGAGTTGACGGCGCCAGGCCCGGAGATCTCGAACGCGCGGAGCCGCGTGGATGGTCGGCCCTGATTGGCTGCAGAGTGGATCCCTCGCGATCCGGGATTCGCTGATTGGCTGAGACTAATCGCTCGGCATGGAGCAACTGTGACGCGTGCGACGGACGCCGTGCGACAGGTGGAGGGTCGCAGGACGCTCGTGCGAAGAGAATTCGCCGCGAGTCGCAGGGAACAGACGGTGCGAGTGACAGTGGCAGCCATAGTGGACGTTTCGCAGTGTAATGGAAACGAGACCTCAGAGGTTTGTCGAATCCTAGAATATCGTAATGGGAAGGGATCGAATGATCGATCAAGGGACTGACCAGCGGACGTAAGTGGCAAGACTAGGTAGCCACAAGGCACGAGCACGCTGTCGCGTCAGCCTCGGAAGGGTGAAATAGCAAATGTTGCTAGCCTAGAAAATGAATCTGGAAACTGCCAAAGCGGGGAAAGTAGCCCTCGGAAAGTTTGAGATGAATCTGATATTGGATTAGTGCATGTACCTGTTAGCGGAACTGCTTCTGGAAAAGTAAAAGTCGACGTGGAGCGTGTTAGGAAATCCACGCCGCCACGTGTAAGTATGTACTCTGAGAGAAAGACTCTTGTTTAGCTGACTCATTTCACGTGTAAAATCATCAGCCTCACTATCGAAACCCTCATTAACGAGTATGAACCCTCCACACGTCTGGCCAGGACAGGCAGGCATGGAGGTTGCCGCCGAACCGAAGTGATTTCCCGCCGCGCCACGCAAACCCTCTCTCAATCCCTCCCTCCCTCAACCCCTCGTTCTACCCCTCCCTCACCTGCACGGCAAATTTTGGAAGCCCCTTGGGATTTCCGCATTGACATGGCAGGCACCACCACAGCAACAGGGCAAGCCAGATTACAAATTCGGCCAATCCCTACATCAGTGGTCCCACTTTGCGGGTTCCTTGGGAAACCTTGTGGTGGATTCGAGGTTCGGGAATTTCTAGCCTCTCCTGTATAAGACTGCTCATAGCCCATAACTTTCAGGTTCAAACACCAATTTCGTCGCTTTTCCCTTTCATTCGACAGCTGTCCCAAGCAGTTTCTCAGATTTTGCGTAGCGCTTCAGTCCAGATTCAGCTTAGTAGCCGGTTAGCGGTCCTGCATAGCAGCAACTTGCTGGCACTCCTTTAGCTCGCTCGGATTATTTCTCGTGAATCTCAGTGGTTGGCGATTTCTTACCTTCGTAAGGCGGAAGGACTAAGAACAGGGTGAGAGATAGGAGGCGATGCTGAAACGCACGGCATATTTTGGGTGTTGTGATGTGACAAGGAGAAAGGTGTTGAAACCGACTGTCTCTGTGGAACGGCGTCACATCCTTCGATAGACTTTTGAGTCGACTCAAAACGCACCGAGCGTGTACGGCGTTGCGAACTGACAATATTAATGGTGTTGAAACTGACTGTCTCTGTCGATCAGCGTGGCGTCCTTCTTCACTCCAGCGAGCACCTACCCTTTACGTCGGTGTATCGATTTCCTTCTTTACCCTCCCCCCACCAACCATGTCAGCTATGGCGGACATCCAGTCACTATGGAGCGACGTCATGTCCTTCCCCTCTCCGACAGACACGCTACCATCCCCTTACATCCCGCTCCACCTCGCCTTCAATCAGCAGCCACCTTATGGCGAACACTCAGTCCTTGTAACGAGGTCGCGTCCTTCTACACCCGGTGCTCACCACCATCCTCTTGTTCCTCCCCCTTCCTGCCCCCTCCTCCCCCCTCCTCCCCACCCCTCTTTTCCCAACGAAAGACCAGCTATGGCGAACATCCATTCCCTATGGAACGACGTCACGTCTTTCTTCTCGCCAGCAGACACCTTGCCATGGACGGACGAGAAAACCATTCAGGTGGGCAATAAGCCGTTCAGGTGGGTAAGAAGACCATTCAAGTGAGTAAGAGAATCATTCATGTGAGTAAGAAGACCATTCAAGTGAGTAAGAAGACCCTCAAGTGAGTAAGAGGACTATTTAAGTGAGTAAGAAGACCATTCAAGTGAGTAAGAGAGCCATTCAGGTGAGAAAGAATCATTCAGGTGAGAAAGAACCATTCAGGTGAGAAAGAAAACCATTCAGGTGAGAAGAAAACCATTCAGGTGAGAAGAAAACCATTCAGGTGAGAAAGAAAACCATTCAGGTGAGAAAGAAAACCATTCAGGTGAGAAAGAAAACCATTCAGGTGAGAAAGAAAACCATTCAGGTGAGAAAGAAAACCATTCAGGAAAGAAAGAAAACCATTCAGGAAAGAAAGAAAACCATTCAGGAAAGAAAGAAAACCATTCAGGTGAGAAAGAAAACCATTCAGGTGAGAAAGAAAACCATTCAGGTGAGAAAGAAAACCATTCAGGTGAGAAAGAAAACCATTCAGGTGAGAAAGAAAACCATTCAGGTGAGAAAGAAAACCATTCAGGTGAGAAAGAAAACCATTCAGGTGAGAAAGAAAACCATTCAGGTGAGAAAGAAAACCATTCAGGTGAGAAAGAAAACCATTCAGGTGAGAAAGAAAACCATTCAGGTGAGAAAGAAAACCATTCAGGTGAGAAAGAAAACCATTCAGGTGAGAAAGAAAACCATTCAGGTGAGAAAGAAAACCATTCAGGTGAGAAAGAAAACCATTCAGGTGAGAAAGAAAACCATTCAGGTGAGAAAGAAAACCATTCAGGTGAGAAAGAAAACCATTCAGGTGAGAAAGAAAACCATTCAGGTGAGAAAGAAAACCATTCAGGTGAGAAAGAAAACCATTCAGGTGAGAAAGAAAACCATTCAGGTGAGAAAGAAAACCATTCAGGTGAGAAAGAAAACCATTCAGGTGAGAAAGAAAACCATTCAGGTGAGAAAGAAAACCATTCAGGTGAGAAAGAAAACCATTCAGGTGAGAAAGAAAACCATTCAGGTGAGAAAGAAAACCATTCAGGAAAGAAAGAAAACCATTCAGGAAAGAAAGAAAACCATTCAGGAAAGAAAGAAAACCATTCAGGTGAGAAAGAAAACCATTCAGGTGAGAAAGAAAACCATTCAGGTGAGAAAGAAACCATTCAGGTGAGAAAGAAAACCATTCAGCTGAGAAAGAAAACCATTCCTGTTTGGAAACCGTCAGGTGAGTACGAATGCCGTTCGGGTAGGCAAAAGAGCCATTCAGGCGGGTGTATAAACTGTTCAGGTGGGTAAGAGAACCAGTCAGGTGTGTAAGAGAACCATGTAGGTGCGTAGGAAAACCACCATGTAGTCGAGTAAGAACGCCATACATGTGAGATGGACGCCTTGGATCCAGACCAGGCAGCAGCAGCAGCCAAAGGCCACCTCCGGAAGCTGCTAGCGTGTAACAAAGACCTCCCCCTCCTCCCCGAGCCAGGCGTGTGAGAGGGACCTGTTGAATCCAGGCCACAGCAGGAAGCAGATACAGCCTCATGAAGCTAGCAACCACGTCTCAGACGGTTTCCTTTCCCCCCTGTTCGCATCCCCCCTGTTCCCGTCCCCTCTGTTCCCCCCTGTTCCCGTCCCCCCTGTTCCCCCCCTTGTGCCAGGCGTGTGAGCGGGACGTGTTGGATCCACGCCAGGCAGCAGCAAGCAGAGGCAACCTCATGAGACTAGCTAGCTGCCACGCCTCAGACGCGCTCCTTTCCTTTCTGTTCCTGTTCTCCCCTTGCCAGGCAATCGTGCTAGACCCCGAACGGGCAGCAGCCAGCAGAGACAACCTCATGAAGCTGGCTACGTAGATAGCTAGCAAAGGCCCTTCGCATGTCTTATCCGCATCTCTTATCCGGTCGGATAACACAGCACAGCACACACCACACCACCACACCCGATACTCCCATATCCCATCCCAGGCATGTGAGAGGGACGTGTTGGACCCCGGCCAGGCAGCAGCCAGCAGAGACAACCTGATGAAGCTGGCGTGGGCGCTGGTGCACTCGAGGAGAGAGGCGGATGTGGTGCGCGGGATAGCCATGCTGGACGGTGAGTGTGTGGTGAGGTATTGCCTTTTCGGATGGGGAGCTCAGTCCGTGCTGGTCATGGTACATGCATGTGGGATGGGCCCGGGTGCACTCGAGGAGGGAGGTGGATGTGGTGCGCGGGATAGCCATATTGGACGGTGAGTGTGTGATGAGTTTGGGTATTGGTCTTTTAATACTTCTCAGAAGCAGCAGCAGCAGCAGCAGCAGCAGCAGCAGTGAGGAAGGCGGATCTCGTGTGAGGGACAGTGTGGTGAAGCTAGCATGGGCGCTGGTGCACTCGAGGAGAGAGGTGGATGTGGTGGGAGGGATAGTCATTCTGGACGGTGAGTGTGTGAGGAGGGCGGGAAGTGTGAGTCAAAGCTTATAATACAGCAGCAGTAGCAGGAGCAGCAGCCAGAGACAATTATATGAAGCTAGCATGGGCTCTGGTGCACTCGAGGAGAGAGGCGGATGTGGTGTAAGGCATAGCCATGCGAGATGGTGAGTGTGTTATGATTGGGTTATTGCCTTTTCAGATCGTGAGTTTGGTCCGTGCTGGTCATGGTGCACGCGGGTGGGATGGGCGCTGCTGCACTTGAGGAAAGAGGCAGACGCGGTGCGGGGAATAGCCATGCTAGACGGAGCTTGCTCTTGCTGTTCATATACACGCGTGTGGGGGTGGTTGCTGGTGCACTCCAGTAGAGGGTGTGGTGAGAGTTTTGTGAGTGTGGTGAGTGCGGTGAGTGGCGTGAGTGTCGTGCGTGTCGTGAGTGTGTTGTGCTGTTACCGGCTTGAGAGATTGACGTTGTATATCGTTTCCACCTCTGCTCCTTCCAACAGAAGCAGCTGAGGGGAGTGGCAGACCCCCAGCAGAAGCACGAGGTGCGCACCTCACGGCCGTGGGGTGCTAGCCTCCCGAGCCTGGTCATCACACTGTTCCTTTATTTTCCGTCTTTCTGCCTTTCGAGAAAGCAGAGCAACTGAGAGCCGCAACAGACCCTCAGCAGAGGCACGAGGCGCTTTACCTCAAGGCCGTTGGGTGCTACCGAGCCGGTGACTTGCAGCGGGCCAGGCAGCTGGTGGAAGATGCGCTCAAGGTAAGAACGAGTCTTACAGTGACGAGCTGTGTGATAAACGCGATTGTTGTCTCAGCTGTTGGGTGCTACCAACACAATGCGTGGAAGATGCGCTGAAGGTAAGCGAGACTGTGACGGTAACGAGCTGTGCTGTAAACGGCGATTACTGTTTCACCTGTGGGGTGCTACAGGGCCAGTGACCTGCAGCGAGCAAGGCAATAGGTGGAATATGTGCTCAGGATAAAGGGGGGAGTGATATTAACGAACTGTGTGACAGCAACGAGTTTGCGACAGTAGTGAGGTGTGCTATATCGAGTGGCTTTTAGCTTGCTGCCTCAAGGCTGTGGGGTGCTACTGGCCCAGTGTCAGTGACCTGCAGCGAGTAAGCCAATCCGTGAAACATACCCTGAAGTTAAAAGAGAGTGTTACTGTAAAGCGTTTAGTGACAGTAACGAGTTGTGTGACAAATAGTGGGTGGCTGTCTAACTTCAAGGTTGTGGGGTGCTACCGGGCTGGTGATTAACGACCAATTGGTGATAGATGTGGTCACAGTGAAAGAGAGGGTGTGACAGTGACGAGTTGTGTGGCAATAGCGAGTTGTGCGACAGCTATGAGTTGTGCGACAGCTGTGAGTAGTGCGACAGCTATGAGTTGTGTGGCAGTGCACGTATCACCCTCATCCTGTATTCCTGTGGTGTAAATGTGACAACAGACCCTGCACCCCTACCCTCTGCCTTCCTAGTGTCTTTGCCCCCAACCGCCTTCGCCCTTGTTTTCTTCCCTCCTTTCTTCCCGTCTCTCTTCCCTCCTAATCAATGCCCGCTTATCACGGCCTCGTTCTTATCTGCTGTGTATCACTGCATATATTTCCCACGTCCCACCAAGCATCCAGGCTCAAGGCTTGCATAGAGAGCAGGACAGCCCCAGGCGTTTTTACATACCTTATTCGCTGCCCCCCTTTTTTGTCTGCCCACTCTTCCACATCCTTGGATTCTTGTGCAGATATCTCCCACATCCCATCAGGCAGCCAGGCTCAAGACGTGCATAGAGAGCAAGATAGCCTCAGGTATTTCCAACCTAGAGCATTACGGGTAGTTTAGGGCAGCTGTGCCATCACCGGTCGACCTTGACGTTCCTTGAATCCGCTGCAGTTTGGAACATCAAGTCTTCAACTTGCACCGTTTCTCCCCTCCCCCCGCTTTCTCAATTGACCCCTGTTCTACTCCTATTTAACGCTTCAATTTTTGTCTGTCAATCCACTTCAGATGGTGTGGGGATTGCTTGCTGCTATGCAGTTGCTGTTACCGGCGCTGTTGCCTTGTCAGCCTCTGCTAGAAGTTGCGGCTAATACTCTTTTCCATTCACTCCCCTCTCAGATGGCGTGATTGGAGTGGGGATTGCGGCTAGTGCAGTTGCTGTTATTGGCGCTGTTGCTGTGGCAGCTATTGCCGGAGCTGCTGGGGGGAGGAAATGATGCCCACACTACATGTGGCTTGCTTCAGTTCACATAAGCCTTTTTTTGCGATGGATATTTTTTGTGAGTAGTGTGTCTTTTCTACAAGCCGTGCTATGATTATCGTATGCTACGTTCATGATGGGATCTTCGCTTGTTTCTCTTGCAATCCAATCCGGCTCAAACCCGTGTTATGCGTGGTATTGCTGGTAGAAGGTTTTCCTGCCAACGTAAGGTTTGTTATCAGGCCCAATAGCATCGTAAGCTGTAATGCAAAGCGTGTGAGGTATTTGAGTTGTGATACAAATTATTAATCGTATGTGGTTATAGGATTATTCTGATGCGGTTGAAACACGAAGAATATTATTTCAACAGGTCGTTACATTCGAGAGACGAAATTCAACCCCTTCAACCGAAATTGACTGTGATAGAAACGAGCAGCCGTGTTCTTTCTCGCGCGCCGCATTTCCTGAAGTGATACCACCTGCGTTTCGGCATTTTTCAGCCAATCAAGATATGGATCATCCAGCACTACAAGTCGCAGCCCGCGCCGCGATTCGCGGGCCCCTGGGTAACGCCTGCCGCCAGCATTGAGCGTTCCTTGGCGTCTCGGCAGACCAATCAGGTTGCAAATCCAGCTTACCCCGCGCAGCGAAGTAGCGCAAGTTCATTGCGCGAATCCAAGGCGGAAATTCAAGGTGCAACCGACAACATGTTTGCACAAAGCCACATCGAACCGCACGTAAAATCACCGAATCCGTCTAGATTGCAGAAAACCGTTTCTCCACTCTCCCACCCAACTCATTTCATCACCCCCATTTTAGCACGCTGCGGCAAAACAACCTATTTATCCCTCGTCCGACCAGGGCAGATCACCACTCAACCCTTCCATTCCATACAAGCGCACATTTGCGCGCCTTTCGCCTCGTCTCTCCTCCCAGTTTGCCCCTGTTTTTTCGCAGAGCCCCTGCTGTCGCCCCTGTTTGCGCCCCTTCCTTGCCGAGCTGTAGGATACCCTCCCCCCCCCTACCCCCCACAACCAAACACTAGCCCAGCTGAGCCAACCCAACTCAGCTTGTGTCACACAAGCCGACACGGACGAATCCTTCTCGCTTCTCCCCTCCCTCCCTCTTTAGTAGCAAGCAACTCTCGCGTCGCCCACCACACAAACTTCTTGTAGTCCAGTCCTGACCAGCCCTTGTTCCGTAACTCGTGACCAGCTCGTACGAGCTCTGGTCCAGACCAGCCCTTGTTCTTGTCTCCCCTCGCATCGCGGCCATTTCCGACTCGCGGCCCTTTTCTCTGATTTGCTCTCCTCCTCTCCTCACCACCGACGAGCCGCGTCCAAAGGGTGCTGCTGCTGGTAAGGCCTTCCTTCCTCCCTCCCGTCCCGTCCACCGTAATCGCGGCGCGCTCGTAGCTGCCGCCCTTCAGCTTCGAGTTAAAGTCACTGCTCTGCTCTGCAGCACATTGAAATGCTAGTAGACGGCATTCTGTCTGACGGCGGACACTTGGATAGACGGTCACAGAACAGACGGTCAGATAACAGACGGTGACAGGGTTCACATCGCATACGCGCTGCCTCATGCTGAATGCCGAAGGATCTTCGTCTTCCACCTTGGAACGTCGTTTCAGTCAAAGCGCGCCGTGCGTTGCTGGCATGATAGCTCCTCTTGCTTCCGCTTCCTCTCTTATCGCCTCAGTTTCTCCAGTCTCGAGTCTCGACCCAACCCGAGCACGCAGCCATTTCAGAAAGCAGAAGAACGCATCTCTTCCCGAGTCTAGAAACAGTCGTTGAGCCGGTGGTTGAGCCAGCTCAGAAACAGATGCGGTGGTTTACCGGAAGCTGGAATTTCTAGTCGACATACTGCCTTGAATTTCAGCCCAGCTCACGCGTAGAGTGGAATCGATCGAGCGAGCGATCGCCCATTGTACCTGAAAGCCAAGCTCAGCGGTAGAGAATTTGAAGCTCCGTATCCGAAGCTGCGGATCCGAAGCTGCGTAGTTCAAGAGAGGTGTAGCCCGCGTGTTAGGATATGGCAGCGAAAATCGGAATCGCGCTGTCAAGAATGTGCCATGCCCGCCGGATTCGATATAGAATCTACTAGATTCGTAATCTCCCGTGGTACCCCGTTCGTTGCGGCAACCATAGTAGCCACTTTATTCTAACATCCAGAGAGTTGACTCGTTCACGCGACCGACTCTGAGATCCGATCGAATCGTGGTCAAATCTTAATCGGATCGAATCTGGCTACCGTTTCACATGCCTTGCAGATTCCCTCGTTTCCGGCAATCCGGGACTCCATCAAGCGAATGCGCAGCATCCGCGCCTCCCCAGTCCCAACGGCCAATGGAGCGGGAGCAATCGACGTCGCCCATGCGACGCGCGACGACTCTGCGACTGTCGTCCACGTCGCATTCTCTCGCCCCGCTGCTTCTCGCGCTGCCGCTTCTCCTCCTCGTCTCCCTCGCCGCACTCTCCGCAACCTTCCCGCTCTCCTGGTCTTCCGCCCAATACGTTTTCCGGAGAGCCTCCGCAGAGCCCGCGCAAGAGTGGCAGAAACCCGCGCAGCAGTCGGCGGAACTTGAACCAGGGGAAAGCGCAGGGGAAAGCGCAGGGTATCGCGCAGCGGGCGCTGACCTTTCAGCAGTCGGGGCAGCAGCGGGGGTTAATCCGGCGGAGGGTATCGCGGCGGGCAAAGCGGCGGGCAACGCGGGGCGTGAGCTTGGCTCTCCGGTGCGCCTATCGTGGGCGACAGACCACGTCGTGCGACGAAGCCTGCGATCCCTCGCCGAGGTCTTCTCTTCGCGAACCGCTCGCCGATCGCTCGCGACAAACTTCCCATTTATCGGCGCTTTTAAGACCGCCATACAGAACAGCGGCGCTTCGGGTTCCGCGGCGGGTTCAATCTCCGCATCCGCGTTAAAGACTAAGTCCCCGCCCAAGCCGCCTAAAAGCCCGCCAAAACCACCTAAATCTCCTAAACTACCTAAGTCCCCCAAACCGCCCAAGTCGCCTAAACCGCCTAAGGTTTCCAAGCCTCCTAAGAGCCCAAAGCCACCCAAGTCTCCCCCGAAACCCCGCAAATCCCCCAAGCCCCCGAAATCGCCCCCCAAGTCTCCGCCAACGAACCCCAAACCACCGCCAGGGGGAGTTTCCACTCCGCCTTCTATCCCCCCCCCGCTTGGTTCGATCCGAGGAGAGCCAGGCGATGTTTCCGCTCCGCCATCCGTTCCCCCGCCGTCCCCCCAGCCCGTCCCCCCGCCCCCGACTCCGCCGACTTCTGGCGGCGCAACGCCTCCCCCTGTTCCGCCGAACCCGCCGCCTGGGGCGCCGGGAATCCCGCCGCCTGGGACGCCGGGGGCCGTGCCGCCACCTGCAGCAGGAATGGACTTCAGTGTCGTGGCATATGGCGCGAAGGGCGATGCGAAGACTGACGCTACTAATGCGTTCTTAAAGACGTTCGCCGCCGCTTGCGCTTGGGCTGCTGCGGATGGGGCGGGGACGAGGGGAGGGGTGGCTGCAGGGTTGGGCGCGGGGGCGGGGGGAGGGGCAGGGGTAGGGGGAGTTGCACGGATGGTGATACCTGCTGGGGGGAAGTTCCTGGTTTACCCCATGTATTTGAAGGGGCCTTGCGGAAACGGACTCCAATTTGTGGTGAGCGCGAGTTCTCTCCTCGGCTGTCTTTCCCCCGTTGCCCCTTTCCGCTTTGCCCCACTCCCCCTATCCCCTACTTCCCCCAGACCTCCGCTGTCTCCCGCTAATTTCCTTTCCCAGAGGCTAGTATGTGCTCTTTCCCCGCAACCCTGGGCACTTGCACATTTCATATCACATCACTCCTTCCCTCCTAGTCACTCACTCACTCACTCACTCACACAGCCTTCATGATCATGGTGCCTTTTCATCATCTCAACCCCCTCACACACCCAATCTCGCTCCCTCCCATCCCCCCTCATCCCCTCACTCTCTCACATTCTTGCTCCTCCCATCCCCTCCCATCCCCTCTTCCCCTTCACCCCCTCTCTCCCCCCTCCCCCCATTCCTCATCTCCTCTCTTCCCCCCCCCATACCCATTTCCAAGGTCAATGGCGTCATCACAGGCCCTGCTGACGTCAGCAGCTACCCGAAACCCGCCAAGCCGAGCTCGTGGGCTCTGCTACTGTTCAACCGGATATCAAATCTGGAGATTTCGGGCGGCGGAGTGATGGACGGCGCGGGGCAGGGCTTCTGGAAGTTTCCAGGAAAGCAGCGGCCGGCACTGCTGTCAATCACAAACTGCGAGGGAGTGACGATTCGAAATATACAGTTCATGTAAGTTGAAAGGATGTTTCGAAAATACACTACCGTTTACGTGTGTTGAGGGAATAGTACCTTTTATGTGAGGTGTCCACTTCGCGATATATGCACAGTACATGTTGCGTGTAAAGTAAGAGTGAGATATCCATCCATAGCAGCAATTGCAAGGTGTTGACACTCCCTTCTCCCAAAAAAAATCTTCCTTTCCCTCTCTCCCCACGGCACCAATCCCGCTGGGCAGCACGTGAAAGTGTACAGGAGCACAGACGTGCTTATAGAGAGGGTTGAAATGCCCCCCCCCCCCCCCCCCCTCCTCTCCATCCCACCCATCCTCCCTCTACCCCCTCCTTCCACTTCATTCCATCCCTCTTTCCCTTGTGAGCAGCAATCCCGCTCGGCAGCACGTGAAAGTATACGGGAGCACGGATGTGCTTATAGAGAGGGTTGCGACGCTCTCCCCTTACAACAGCCCCAACACCGATAGTATCCTCTTGAGCGGGGTGGTGAATGCCATCGTGCGGAACAGCAGACTGGAAGGAGGTGAGATTCTACTGCGTTTGTGGTGCCAAAGAAAGTGTGTGCTGTAGATAGGGCTGGGTTACAATACTCTCCCATACAATAGCCCCAACACGTTGTAGGTGATTTTTGAGAATTCTCAAAAATCGGGTACCAAAGAAAGTGTGTGCTTGTAGATAGGGCTGGGTTGCAATGCTCTCTTGTACAATAGCCCCAACACGTTGTAGGTGATTTTGGAGAATTCTCAAAAATCGGGTACCAAAGAAAGTGCGTGCTTGTAGGTAGGGCTGGGTTGCGATACTCTCCCGTACAATAGCCCCAACACCGGTAGCAGCCTGTTCAGCGGGGTGGTGAATGGCGTAGTGCGAAACAGCAGACTCGAAGGAGGTGGGAATGGGGAGGGGGGTGGTAGGATCTTCAAACGGATATAAGGTTTGTTTTGAGACATCTCAAAACAATCCTAATATAGAGAATGGGGAGGGGGATGGGAGGATCTTCAAATGGATTGTGAGACTATAACGGACTCTAACTATAACATTCCATTCCTGCTATTTTCCACTTCATTCCACCCCTCTTTCCCTCGTGATATTCGAAAAAAACACTTGTTTCTTCCCCCCCTCCTCCCCCCCTTCTTTCCCCCACCCTTACCCCCCGGCAACTCGCCATCTTGGTATTTCCCATCCAGGTGACGACAACGTGGCCATCATTACAGGGTGCCAAAACATCCTTATAGAGAATATGGAGTGTATCAATGGACATGGAATAAGGTACGGGTTCAGTAACATCCGTATGGGGAGACTTTAAGACTTATGTAAAAAGGAATATAGAGTTTATGAGTGGGCAGGGCATAAGGTATGGCATGAGGGTGGCTTCTTGTAACGAGTTCTGCTTTGAATTGGTGCATGCATGCACCCTTTCCGCTCTCCCCTTCCTCCTACTCAACGTTAACTGGAGAGCTGGGCTTTTTATCAGACGTGGCAGTACGTGATGTGAGCTTAAAGGGGTCCAACACCATTTCTTTTCTCCCAAACTTCCCTGTTCCTCCTTTCCCTTTCCCCTGCAATTCCTTTCCCAGCATCGGAAGCCTAGGTGGCGACAGGGAACTAGGCTGTGTATCTGATGTGACAGTACGCAATGTGAGCCTAAGGGGCTCCAACAATGGGCTCCGGATAAAAACCTACCAGCAGGGCGTGGGTCTAGTCAGTAACATCACCTACGAAGACGTAACCGTTACGGACGTTACCTGGCCGATCCTTATAAACCAGTTCTACTGCGACAAAAAAACTGCATCTGCCAGCAGTTGCAAGCCCAGCAGCACGGCTGTGGCAGTTACCAATGTCCGTTACAAGAACATACGCGGCACGGCGAACGGGACGGTCGGCGTGCTTCTGAACTGCAGCCAATCCGTGCCCTGCTCTGGGATCTCTTTCTCGGGTATTTACCTCTCGTCGTCCCGCAAAGCCAAGCCGCTGCTGCTGAGCTCTACTCTCAAGGAGAAAAGGGTTGGAGTCAACTCAGTCAACTCAGTCAACGGGGTAAACGCAGCCAATGGGGATGATAAAGACTCCATAGGGTTGCTGAACCAGGAAGCTCAAGTCAACGGGGTCAACAAGGGGCCCATGGGAGTCAGTCCATTTGCACATCTGTTTGGGGCTGGTAGCACCAGCAGCAGCAGCAGCATCAGCAGCAGTCCCAGCAGTCTTTCTGCTCCCCTACAAGCCGCCGATACTTCGGGAGCGTCGGATCTCTTAGCAGTGCTCAATAACGCATATGGAGTGACGGACGCTGCCTCGGTGTCGCCCTTCATAGCGCAGGCGCAGTGGGAGGGTGACTCGCCCCCCGCTTCAGCTAGAGCAGCCATCAGCAGCATGGCTGGCAAATGCATGTGAGTGACTGGGGATATGCGTGTGTGTGTGCGCGGGTGCGTGCTTGGGGGTGTATATGTGTGGGAAATATGGGCTAGGATGTCTGTGCTTGAGATAGGGATTGAGGTTTTGGTATGCATTCATTTCACGCCATGTAAAAGCGCCTTTGACACCCTTCTGCCTCTATGCTTTTTGCTTGCAGGAAAGCCCCCATATCATTGAAGTCAACTCTTGCAGCATACAATGAAATTGGGGTTCATTCATCCAATTCTGTCCGTACACTGATCTCACCTTGAATAAGCGTGTGTACTTTATGTTGCGATATGCTCCTCCGATGTAGTAGCCCATGTAATAAAAGTAGCTGTCGTTTTTTTCCTGGTACACCGATCGCTCCGGCGGGATGGAGGGGCTATACGTGTAACAATCACCATGGGGATTGTGGGAGAGTGGGGTAACGAGACTATGCCATTGAGAGTCACTTGCATGCATAGTAAAAGCCAACAAGAGATGGTCCTTTGAAGATGGTTATTGAAAGAGTCATCGTGCACAATTTCTCTTTCAGATTGTTCTGGTGTAGTCTACAAAAAGCCAGGGAAGACGGCACAGCAGAGCGGATGGGTGAAGCTGTCATTTAGGAATGTGGAGTCAACAAATCTTGTCTGTATTCTTCCACCTGTGCCAGCACTGCTTCCAGTGGAACTGCTTTGCTTGGCCAACTAGGAGCAGGATGCCGGAAATTAGGGCATTTTTTCCTCCTATCAGGGCTTGGCTCTTTGCGGCAGGCTCGTTCTTAGGGGCTGTGTTCTTAGGGGCCGTTCTCAGTAGCTGACAGCAGAGGATGCTTGCCAGCTAGGCGGCAGAGTCAAGCGGGCATGCATCACGGTGGGCCACGCAACGGCTGTGCCGTCCATCGTGTTACTGTTCCAAGAAAACAGAGGCCACTGCCGACAAAGGGAAGTGTGGCGGGGTCGCGCCAACGAGCTCAACACGCGCAGTTGTCCGACGAGCAAGTGTCTCGATTGTAGAGTGGCGTCTCAGCGACAAATCGGCCGCTGACTAGGCGCCTTCTCAGTGGCTGTAAGGGTGTTTTCGGTAACCAAGGCGAGGCTCTCCCGAGGCTGCCGAATGGTTGTTAGGGTGGTCTGTGTATACACGCTCGCAATACTCCACCCCCGCATGCGCTGTAGGTACACCCTCGGCTAACATGGAGTACCTACAGTGTGGCCAGTCCCAAGCCACTCTGTGGGTCGGTACTGTTTCCCGAGAACGTTGGCGCGTACGCGAAGGGGGCATTTGCGATCGCTTGGAGTCCAAGCGATCCTTACCTTTCCAGCCTTTTCGCCGCAAAACGCAGGCGTTCCAAAAGCTACGCTCTTAGCCTGAGAACGTTCGGAGAGCTCAGCTCCAAGATTCGAGTGTCCAAAAGGCCCTTGTGATGGTAGTTGGCTCCATCAATCGTTCCGCAAATGAACACAACTCCGGTTTCAAGATCTCATGGCCGCCATATCTTATTCACACGGCAGTTTCGGCCGGGTGCGAGGGGCGGTAGATTCTCGGAGCAGTTCATCGCTGGTTGCTAGTCGGCTTACCAGAGGGTCAACTTGACCCTTGAGGTGGAACCGAAGCCGAAACCTTTGAAGTAGCCGTTTTCCAGAGCTCTTGAAATCGAAACTGGAGCCTGTGTGTCTACGGAGTCAACTTGACCCCGGAAGTGGAATTTCCTCCACACTTTTTATGTAGCCGTTTTTCAGAGCCCTTGACAAGCTCGAGCCCGTGAAGTGGAATTTTCTATCCTCGTGTTTCTTCACAACAGTACAATAGCGATGATAGGTTCTGGTAGAAGTATATCTTGGAGGAGCTCTTAAAATCGAGACAACGATAGGCTCTACTCCCCCCTTCGCCTAAGCTTCAGTCCTTCGCCTGCGCAAGCCTGTTCGAGCCTGTGATTCCTGTCCAGCCGCCTCAGCTTTTTTTTGCAATAATGAGGCCTAGTATCGTGTTCAGCTTAGGAGTAAGGAAGTCGAATTTCGGTGGTGCTAAGGAGAAGAGTAGGCGTGTCACCGGAGCGCTTTGGAAACCAGAGGTATGTAATACCCACTGACGTTGTGATTTTTTTTTTTTTTTTTTTTTTCCCCGAATTTATCCCCTTCCTGCTCTATTCGTGAAGCTGTCCTGATGTCTCCGGTGTTCCATTGTCTGGTGGTGATTCCCTCTTGGAGGCACTCTTTGAGCACTTAGGAAGCACTTTTTCAAAATTATTCCCTTCCTCTTCTATTCGTGAAAGCTGTACCGATGTCTGATGGTCCTTTGTTTGCTGTGTGCAGGAAGACAAGATTTTATTGGACCACGTGGCAAGGCATGGCACAAACAAGTGGAGACTTATCAAGTCTATGGGTCTTCTGCCCTCACGAAACCACAAGTCGTGCTGTAACCGCTTCATCGTGCTGAAAAGGTATTCATCCATGCTCAGTACTTGTGCCCTTCTCGTGATTTGCTTTATGGCGCTACTTAGCGTTATCGAATGCTGCATTTGATTGATTGACATATACTTGTGTGGGCCCTTTGCAAGAGCTGTGTCAGTATGACTACCTTGACATTGCTGCACGAAATTCATGCGTCACGTTACCTCTACCACCACATGTACCTTTCCGTACAGGAAGCTTTTGAGTCGTCGTCACAAAATGCACCACTCGGCGTTACCTGACAACTCTTGTGCCACATTTCCTTGTTCTCTTTCCAATGTCATGCAGAAAGCTGTCCAGGCTCCAGCAAACGACACATGTGGACTTAGCTGATTTTGACACCTCTCATCAACTGTGCCAGCGTACGGCACACAAGGACTTGCCTGATCGTGGAATGACACAGAATCTGCACCAGCGCACGGCACACAAGGACATGCCTGATTGTGGAATGTCGCAGAATCTGCACCACCATATGGCACACACGGACTTGGATAGGAAGGCGACGATGCCAGACAAATCGATGAGGGCGATTGCAATTCAGAAGTTTTCAGGATCCAATCATCTACTCACCACCTCATCGTGTCAGCAGCAGCGCATGTCGTGTCAGCAGCAGCGCATGTCGTGTCAGCATCAGTACACTCCAGCGTCGGATGGGATGATGCCGACGGATCCTAAGGTTGAAGCAGCAACAACAGTAACGAGTCGACTCATTATGGGGGATGAAGCAGCAACAGCTGTAGCAGCATCAGTGGAGATGCTTGGAACTACAAGCCCAGTTGCCATGGTCTTTCCATTCCCGTGCTCGTTGGAGCATCAATGCCGTCCAACACCACGATTATGCCGCTCAGCATCGCAGGAACTTCAACCATCACAGAAACTCCTTCCATCGTCACAGCAACCGCTTCCATCACCATTCCTCCCATCATTACAGCAGTTCCTCCCAACATCACTCCTCCCATCATCACCGTCTCAGTCGCTTCTCTATACCATGTCAATTCCTTCAGCCTCGCCCCTTGTTGCGCCAACTGCAGCTCTCCCTCTCCCTCCTTCTCCCACTCTTCCCTGTCCTCTCCCTCATCCACTCCCCATTTCACAGAATGAAATCGAGATCCATATTCCACCCACTGCAGCTCTCCCCCCGCCTCCATCTACCACTCTTCCGTTTCCCCTCCTTCCGCCACTCCCTCCTCCTCTGAAGGAGATCGACATAGGAGCATTTTCACTGGTGGACTCACCTATGCAGGAGCTGCAGGAGATTGAAGCCTTCCTGCTGGGTGAAATGCCTCCTCAGCAGAACAGTGCCTTCGATAGTCTCAGCATCTGCGCCAGATTGCAAGCTGAAGCGGATCAGATGCCTCTTGCTGCGGCTTCTGTTGACGCGACTAAAAGATTGGTCTGTACAGATGTCATTGACACGTGTCCCTGTCTACCGGCTGAAGATGTTGCTCCTGATGCAGTTATTTCCGCGTTTGCCGAACTGCCCTCCCCTGGTGCCGTGTGTCCTGGTTCAGCTTACCCACGCGGTGCTGATGCCGTTTCAGATGGAGCTTCGAGGCGCCTCGAAGCTGTCCTTCCTGGTGTAGCTGATCCGTGCTGCAATGCTGACATGGATTTTCTAAGAGCTGGCTCTGATTCGGTTGCTGCTGCTGCTGCTCCTGCTGCAGCTGCTGGTGCGGTTGCTGCGATTGCTGCTGCTGATGCATCTGATGCTGCCACTGCAGAGGATGCGCTCGCTGCGCTGGCTGCTGATAACGCAATTGTGTGTTGCCTTATCGAGGCCGAGCTGAGAAGAATCAACGATACCCTGCCGCTCTTCACTCCTCAATCTCAACCTGCTCCCAAAACTTCATCGGAGTCTTCTCCTCGATTCTCACCCGCTTCAGCTCTGGAGGAGCAAATCTCAATTGAGACGTCTCAAAAAATGTTGTTGTCGTCCTCTCTCCATCCACCAAGCAGAGCGCATCCCAGTAATTTGGCAAGCACAGTGCTTTCCACCGTCGCAAATTTTACCTCGCTGCCAGAAGCATCGCCATCAGAGATTTCCTCTTGGCTTCCACCACCACTGCCATCAGCTACTGCCACTTCTGCTGCTGCGTTTGCTGCTGATCCTGCTGCTGTTTCTTCAACGCCTGCTGCTACAGTTGTGCCACATCCCCTGAGCCGCATCTTCCTCCCAAAAAAGCGCCCCAATGAGGCTGTCTGACTGAAGCCAGATGAACTGTTTGAAGCGTGGTGCAATGGGACTTAATGCAGGGTGAGTTAGATCATGGCATGTCTTGGCATGCCATGACATGCCATTGTGACTGAGACATGTTCTGGTTGATGACATGTGCATTGTAGGAGCCACATGGTTTCTGAGCGGAGTGTTGTGGATATATGTATGATCCTCCATGTAAAATGGAAAGATTTTAAGCGCTTACGCTTTCAAAAATGTATATTGTGAATGTGAAGCTGCTTGTAACGCTATCTTTGGCATCGTCGAAGCGCGCTATTGGCCCTCCTCCAACTACAAAATGGGGTTGAAGGTCATCCTTCCTCCACCCACGAATTTTCATTTTTCACAGCTCAAGTTCTATTCCCGCCCACCCAAACCTTTTCATCCAGCTGCGTCCATTCGTCCCCGACAACCTGCGCCGCTTCGACGGATTGCCATCAGTGCAGGCACTGCCTAGTATAGTGATCTAGGTTGATGCATGGATATATTGGGAACTCTTTTGTACTTGATGCCACTGAAATGAGAACGATGCCAATTGCACAAACAAGAGCGAGCTTTCTCAATATAGTCACACAATTACATTTACTTACCGGTATTGTACCTTATGATTGGTTGGTACAAACTGTCAACTTAAAGCGAGAATGGAGAATAGTGAAGGCGGGCCCAACTTGAAAGGGGGGTTGTGTGGGATTTTTTATAAGGGACCAACCCCCGTAGCGAGGGGGTAGGAGGGAAAACAGCCGCGCAGGACAGCGATTGGTGCGCGGGAACAAAAACTGCAGCATCCAACCAGAAACACGGCTAAAGAATCCACGTAGATAAGCGCGGCAGCGAAAGCATCGCACCAGGCGAGGAGCATTCACCTGCGATGGTAGGGCAACCCGCACGTCTGTGCCTGTTTCAACTGGGTACAACTCGAATTTCAAGTTGGACCTAGGTTCACAACTCGACGGTCAAAGGGCTGAGGGCACGCCACACCACGCAGAGCGCCCTAGGGTAGAATGCGCATCATCCCCTCGTCGTAACTCGTGGCAGCAGCTTGCGCTGGTTGTGATGCGGCCCGACTCCCCGAGCCAGCCCTACAGTAAGTTGGCAAACAGCAAATAGAGAATAGGTTCATAATGCAAGCGCAAGACACCACCTTTAGGGTGGTACTCCGAGCCCACAGCTAACGGGGTACATATACGGCGCCTCGATTTCCCCGGTGGCAACCAGGCACGAAAGCCGTACCCCTCGAAAAGGGCTACTTGCGCCAATGTGTGCTGCAGGCGAAACGGAGACTAGGCACGCGGCATATGGCGGGTGTTGCCAAGCACGCCAACGCGAGCAGCCCTAGGTCGAGCTCCCCAGCGTGCAGGCTAGCACGGAGCTCGTTTTCACGAGCAGGCAAACGCCGAGCTTGTGGGCACGAGCCGTCTGACGTTAGACCACGTGGCCATACGAGCAGCGTAGAGCCGAGCGCGGCGTCGGGTAGCATAGCGCCGAGCGCGGCGGCGAGCAGCTTTCCCTCGAGCGCGGCGGCGAGCAGCTAAGCGCCGAGCACGGCGGCGAGGAGTTTAGCCCCGAGCGCGACGGCGAGCAGCTTAGTACCGGGCGCGGTGGCGAGCAGCTCAGCGCCGAGCGCGGTGGCGAGTGGCTCAGCGCCGAGCGCGGCTGCGAGAGGCTCAGCGCCGAGCGCGGCTGCGAGCGGCTCAGCGCCGAGCGCGGCGGCGAGCGGCTCAGCGCCAAGCGCAGCGGCGAGCGGCTCAGCACCGAGCGCGGCGGCGACGGGCTAAGCGCCAAGCGCGGCGGTGAGCGGCCCAACGCCTAGTGTGGCGGCAAGCGGCTCAGCGCCGAGTGCGGCGGCGAGCGGCTTCGCGCCGAGTGCGGCGGGGAGCGGCGTTGCGCCGAGCGCGGTGGCGAGAGGCGTTGCGCCGAGTGCGGCTGCGAGCGGCTGAGCGACATGTGCAGCGGCAAGCCGCTTTGCGCCGAGCGCGGCAGCGAGCGGCTCAGCGCCGAGCGTGGTGACGAGCGGCTCAGCGCCGAGTGCGGCGGCGATCGGCTTGGCGCTGAGCGCGGCGGCGACCGGCGCGGGCAACCAGGGCCTGTTTGGCAGGAGTCGCGACAGGAATTGAGGGAATTGGGGGCGAGGACGGGCGGCGTTCGGGAGCGGGGGAGAAGGCAGGCTCAGGAGAAAGGGACGGTAGGGGAGAGTAGTTAGGGCGAGGGGATAAGGGGAGCGAGAGAGAAGCGGGAAGGGGGAGAGAATTGTAGCTGGGGAGAAGGGAGAACGGAGGGAAGGGGAGCCCGAGAGAATGTGAGAGGCAGAGGAGGGGAGCAGGAGAGGATGGGAGTGAGAGAGAAGGGGGGAGAGAGAGAAGGGCAGCGGGAGAGAAGGGGAGCGGGAGAGAAGGGGAGCGGGAGATAAAGGGAGCCTAAGAGAGAAGGGGAGAGGCAGAGAAGGGGAGCAGGAGAGAATGGGAGCGAGAGAGAAGTGGAGAGAGAGAGAAGGGCAGGGGGAGAGAAGGGGAGCGGGAGAGAAGGGAGGCAAGAGAGAAGGGGAGCCTAAGAGAGAAGGGGGGAGGCAGAGAAGGGGAGGGGGAGAGAAGGGGAGCGGGAGAGAAGGGGAGCGGGAGAGAAGGGGAGCGGGAGATAAGGGGAGCCTAAGAGAGAAGGGGAGGGGCAGAGAAGGGGAGCAGGAGAGAATGGGAGCGAGAGAGAAGTGGAGAGAGGGAGAAGGGCAGCGGGAGAGAAGGGGAGCGGGAGAGAAGGGGAGCAAGAGAGAAGGGGAGCCTAAGAGAGAAGGGGGGAGGCAGAGAAGGGGAGGTGGAGAGAAGGGGGGCAGGAGAGAAGGGGAGCGGGGGAGAAGGGGAGCGGGAGAGAAGGGGAGTGGGAGAGAAGGGGAACGAGAGAGAAGGGCAGCGGGAGAGAAGGGGAGCGGGAGAGAAGGGGAGTGGGAGAGAAGGGGAGTGGGAGACAAGGGGAGCCTAAGAGATAAGGGGAGAGCCAGAGAAGGGGAGCAGGAGAGAATGGAAGTGAGAGAGAAGGGGAGAGAGAGAGAGAGAAGGGCAGCGGGAGAGAAGGGGAGCGGGAGAGAAGGGGAGCGGGAGATAAGGGAAGCGGGAGAGAAGGGGAGCCTAAGAGATAAGGGGAGAGGCAGAGAAGGGGAGCAGAGAGAGAATGGGAACGAGAGAGAAGGGGAGAGAGAGAGAAGGGGAGCGGGAGAGAAGGGGAGCGAGAGAGAAGGGGATGGGGAGACAGTGCTGTGGGACCCTTAAGGTCCTCTTGCGCTGTCCTTTGCCATGGCTGTACAACATCCTACCTTATAGAATGGACCAATCGAGAAGGAGGCCGGGGGAGAAGGGGATCGGGAGAGAAGGGGAGCGGGAGAGAAGGGGAGCGGGAGAAAAGGGGGTCGGGCGAGAAGGGGGTCGGGTAAGAGGGAGAGCGGGAGAGAAGGGCAGAGGGAGAGAAAGGGAGCGGGAGAGGAGTGGAGCGGTTGACGAGAGGGGGGGTGAGGGGAGGGGGAAAGAAGGGGCATAGGGGAAAGTGGGAGAAGTGTGGAGACGAGCGGGAGAGAAGTGGGGTTGGTGAAGGTGGGAGAGGGGTTGAAGGGGGGGGGGGGGCGAGGGGGTTTCTGAAGTGAGAGAGCATGGGAAGTTGGGAAGGTGAGAGATAGGAGAGGGGGGAGATGGAAGAGAGATGCGGTGGGCAGGAGAGTCTGCATAAAACACCTAAGGCGGGGTGGGCATGAGTGTGTGCGAGTACAATGATGTCAAGGTACCAGCAGGGGTTAGTGTGGGTTGGCAATCTCTGCCCTAGACACACCCAGCTCCCCCCCGCCCCTCCACAAACGGATCCCCCGCTAGCATACGGACCTGCCGGTGTTGACAGATACCCCCCCTCGCTCTGTTCGCTCTCACTGCACCCACATAGCTGTAAGCCCGCATGATGTGAGGGGAGCTGGGGAGTGCGGGAGAAGCATGTCTTGGAGTTGCATGGCTGTTGGCAGGGTGGGTGGCTGTGCACCCATGATGCCCACCAGCAGGCACAGATTGATCGGGGGCGTTCACCATGCGGTTGCGAGCCCAGTGTGGAGGGCCAGAGTTCATGCCCGGATGGGTGTTGGGGGGAGTTTCATGTTCGTCACCCGCATACAGGGGTACATAGCGAGACATTGGGGGCACGACAGTTTTGTTGCCAAACGTTTCCGAAATCCTTAGTTGACAGACCCACGGCCCTCGTTTGCATACTATACCTGAGCATTGTGAACCCTGACTTGTTCGTGCTGCAGCGGCAGGTTGCTTTCCTGTGAACCCTCTCGAACAATACTTAAATTCATAGTTGACAACAGAACGCTTGTTCACAGCGTGTTATACGAAGTGGGAACCAGGGCTTGAGTGTATGTAATTTTACATCCCCTCCCTCTAATTGGTTGCATATGCTAATATCCCTCACACAATTCCTAAGATAGTGGCTGTTAGTTATAGCCTCCGGCTGTTGCTTTCACTAACATTGGGAGCCACAGCTTGTTCGAGTGTTGCCCTACTAGCGCACCACTAGTCGGTTGCGGGTGCTAACAAACCCCGCCACTCCGTGGCTGTAAATTTTGTATTATCGACCGCAGACCAACGGTGCACAAAGTAGTCCACTTCCTTTGGGGTACAGTGCTTGTACCCCTCAACACTATCCTCAGGGTACAGTGATCCGATCACCACATAGATCAGCCAAGGCAGTTCAACCCTAGCGTATCGATGGTCACCTAGGAGGCGCGAGTAGGTGACGTAACATCGGAAGCGGTGGTGCTTCGGTTGCAACGGTACTCCCTTGCAGCTCCCACAACACACACGGATCATGTTTTCCCTGGTGAGTCACCGACGACCGGTCTCATTCTCACTCCTTAGCCCCAACCAATTTGCTGCCCAACACTCTAACAATGTTTTCTGCTTTGGATATTCCCTCCCAAAGGCGTCCGGCGCCCAGCACCATAGCGGATGGTGCACCGTTGGGGCGAGTCCGGTGCGCCTCCGCACCTGTCTTGACCCGGATGCAGCGACTGCAGGAGACACACACGCATAGAGGGCAGAGAGGGCGGAGGGAGCCAGCGAGACTTAGGGGGCACTGTTTGATATGTGTGGGTTCTATACCCACAGCTGGCTATGGGCCAAGGGGAGCGGGAGGTGGGGGGGGGGGGGGGGGTCCTCTCCCTTTCCCCTTGGGAGCCTATCCATGTAACCATCT